TAAAGTGGATATTAGCACATTTGCAGGGTTTTACCCATCACTTTGTGGAATAAATGAAAGAGGTGACTGGGCACCGATCACTATAATGTTTCTGACAGCTAGGGTTGCCAAGTGCCAGGTTTTCAACCGGACAGTCCGGTATTTTCTAATTAAGTTTTATTATCATGAGTATCAGTACATAGTTGCATACTGCCTAGCTGGTAGATATGCTCACTCTGAGTGACCGTGTCTACCAGCCAGGCAGTACACAACTATGCAGTAGACAGGAGGGGGCAGGGGCGGGGCAGGATGGAATCCCCTGGCCAGACTCGCCCATGCATCCCGCTGGGACCATGTGCGTGATGGGCAGCACCCCAGGATCTGTGCGCACCCAGGCCAGCCCTGCTCCCCCTCCCCAGCCAGCCCCGCTCCCCCTGCCCCCCTCCCGGCCAGCCCTGCATCCCTCCCAGCTGGTTCCCCCAGATCTGAGCTCAAGTGTGTCTGGTATTTTTTTTAAACCATCAGGTCCCTACTGACAGCTGACTGTCTTCTGATTAGCTATCACTAGAGCCACTGCTGGACAAAGGGACCACCCGGAGTTTGACAGCTCTAAACAAGAATCAGAGTACAGTATATGAAAATTGTGAAGTGTGGGATTAGTTACTGTGGATACTTATCCAGAGGACAGCACAGTAAACAGCATTATGACAATGATAATGCTACAGAAAACCCAAAGAGATAGGACCTTACATAAACAGTAAATGGAATTGACTAATAATTTTATCATTTCACCTTGCTTTTATTTGTTGAATTCTGGAGAATTCATACTGTGAAATTCCCTATGCTAGAACAGCCAATGTCTCTCTCTAATAGGGAAGTAACAGGATAACCATTTACACAGTTAACTGACAAGCCCAAGCTTATTGGACTTATAAGTTACTGTGACCAGTTACATGCAGGCTCCCACAGAGCCCGCTGCCACCCCATACTGCTAGCTCTGTATCAGAGGCAACAACACAGGCCAACAGCCAGCTCTGAGAGCTGGCTGCCACCCCACACTGCAGATATGCGTAAAATGGTCAGGGGTTACACGGTTACCCAATTACCCACTTTTTAACACCCCCCTTATCTCTAACCGTTCCTTGGCTAACAGTGCTCCTGGGATGCCTCTGAAATAGTGTTTTTGCGAGTTGTCATGTTTATGCTGGAATGTTCAGGAAGATAAAGACCTTGCTTCTCTGCCTTGTTAAGGACATTTATGAAAAAGAGACCTTCTTTGAATACAGCATAACCTTCAAGGCAGCTTAGGCCCCTGGGGAGGAAATCTGAAAAACAATCATGATGGAATATGGCAAGCTATAGTAGAAAAGACTGGCAAAAAGAAAAGAACATGAAGGGTGGGCATGGGGAAGAACAGGAAAAGAATTCAAATTCGTGAGTGGCCTTGGACGTGCCTTTGTTTTGGGTAGAAACTGCTAATATTTCATAAAGAAGCTTAATTGTTCTTGCTATCTTAAACCAATGGTGACTGTTATATCCCCAACATTCATGGAGATTTAACCTAACTATAACAATAAAGATTCTTTCATTCTTTTTTTTACTTAAAATGTCCTCTATTATGTTTAAAACTGGCAATCAGAAATATCCTACCAGTGGCATGGAGCAGGCAGTCAGTCTGTGCAGGCATCACACGTTGAAGTTAAATAAACTAAAACCACTGAAAAGGGAAGTGTAGCTTACTACTCAATGTTTAAGTTTTAAATCCACAAGGAAAGAGAAATCAGGAATGTTCTAAATGGTATAGATGTGGCTCAAAGAAACTTTGAAACTTTGCATTTAATGGTAGTATGCTGCATATCAGATCACCAGAATTTCCTGACAAAATCTTTGTGATTTAAACAAAACAGAGGGGCAACCCCTTTCTTTGGAGCATACTTCCCATTATCCTGGCATGTGGTTAGAGTTCGGTCTGTCTTTGCAAAATCGTAAAGGAACACCTATACAAAGCCCCCCTTTCTTATTTTATCTTTGGAACCCTTTGGGGTTTACCTTTTATACTGCCACAAAGATGTGTGACAATGATCAAGACGATGCATAAAATTTCATCTTTCAACTTTTGTTTTTTCAGCTAGAGAGAAAACGCTGTTCTATAGAGCAGTGGTTCCCAACCTTTTTTTATACTGCAGACTAGCAAACCCATTCACAAACTTTTGGCAGACTGGTAACAATGCATTTACATATCTGCATATTCATTATGCAAATCATCTCTGCTTTGTTTTCCACTATTACTAATCAGCATCTTCTTCTTCTTCTTCATCATCATCTCTACTGAAGTATATCCTGTAGATATTTTATGCATCATTTCATTACTGCCTAGAAGCCACCTCTAAAGAAAACCCATTTTTACATGACATGCACTAAAATAATCTTTCCCTTTCTATCATATCTTCAATGGCACTCTCATTCATGGAGCAGTTCACTTCTAAAAGGTGATGCACAATTTCTGTTTTTTTTTTTTTTAAATTACGTTGTTTTCCTCCTTTGCTTTTTTTGGATAAAGGCTTGGAAGGTTTAAGAGATTTTCCTGATTGCTTTACCACCACAGAAACATAAGGAATATTAAGTCTGGTTCTTCCCAGTTTTGTTAAAGGGTCTCAGGGATATTTACTGGAAACTCTAATGTCTTTATTAAAGGAAAGTGATAGAAATGTAGCCGTGTTAGTCTGGGGTAGCTGAAGCAAAATGCAGGACAATGTAGCACTTCAAAGACTAACAAGATGGTTTATTAGATGATGAGCTTTCGTGGGTCAGACCCACTTCCTCAGATCAAATAGTGGAAGAAAATAGTCACAACCATATATACCAAAGGATACAATTAAAAAATGAACACATATGAAAAGGACAAATCACATTTCAGAACAGGAGGGGGATGTGGGGGGGGGGAAGGAATTTATTAAAGGGTGAATGTACTGAAACTTTAACAAAGGCTTCATTTACCAAAAATTCTGTTAAACCACTGAGGTTAAATAGGTGTTAATTTGATTAAAAATCCCTTTCCCTCTTAGCCCTTCACCTTTCATTCTCTTGGCTCTTAGGATGTTTCCATTTCACTGGTTCTTCAGCCATCAGAATCTTCCAGCGAAGACAGTGTCATAACCAGGGTATGGGGGGGTTGACCAGCACCTGGGGACTAAGGGGTTAACTAGGTCTCCTGTCCCTAGCCAGGTATCTGGTCAGCCAATAACAATGCAGGTAGGGATCTCAAACTGGGACAAAGGAATTTTAATCTTTTCCTTCCTTTGTCTGGGACAGAGCGGTTTCTCCCAAGTAACAGGGAGATGGGAGGCCCATCTCTCTCCAAGGAAGGATGGACTTCGGACAAGGTGTAAGTAGGGAAAAGTTTAGCTAGTCTGTCAGGTTTTATTGTGTTCTGGTTTGGGAATTGGAACTGAGGTTTGTGCTGTTAAAATGTTTTTTTTCTTTAAAAGTGTTTTTTCTCTCTTTTGTAACTAAGTTTAACCCAGGGCCTTTTCCCTGAGTATCTAAATTAATTGGTGGCTCTTTCCCATCTAGCCACTTCAACCATGCTTGCAACTGTAGTTAGGTTTTATTGTGTTCTGGTTTGGGAATTGGAACTGAGGTTTGTGCTGTTAAAATGTTTTTTTTCTTTAAAAGTGTTTTTTCTCTCTTTTGTAACTAAGTTTAACCCAGGGCCTTTTCCCTGAGTATCTAAATTAATTGGTGGCTCTTTCCCATCTAGCCACTTCAACCATGCTTGCAACTGTAGTTTTTTGTTTTGATAATAAAAGTTTGTTTTCTTTTTCTAATTAACCGTTATTGGTTGATTCCTGAGTCCTGGAAGGTCTGTCTGACTGAGGGGTCAGCTATCTCAGACTGCAGCTTGTTTTTCCTCTTTTTCAAGCTCTTTTGGGGTAAAAAGAGCTTGAGGTACCCCGGGGTTGGTTTCAAGTGTCCACCCCTGTTTGTGGGTTCAAAAGCACTTGATGGTGGCAGCAGATTCCCCGAAGTCCAGGTATTAGGATTTTGGGGGGGAAGTTTTTGTACTAAAGCCTGTAGAGACAAGGTTTTAGGGTGCTCTTGTGGGCCCCCACTTCTGCATTTGTCGTGCCAGAGTGGGGAACAGCCTTGACAACAGGTCTTGAATTTCTTGTATAAAAACAAATAGAATCCTCTATTAATTATTATTATTATTATAATTATTTTAAGAAAAACAAATCTTTCAGGACACTTTCTTTATACTTCATAAAAAGGAACAAGCCAATTTAAAACAAAAAATTGTTGAGTGCATTTGTAACTTTGAGTATCTATGCATTTTCTTGTCAGACAATTGGCAATTTTACTTCACTCCCAACAATTCCCTACTGAAGAGGCTCTTTTTCCTCCTACCTCCCTCACACAGCTAGTGCGAATGACAAAAGTTCAACACTTTACCAAATCAGGGTGTCACCCAGCCCTTCCCCATGCAGAGCATCAGGGATAACAACAGTCTGGAAGGATTCTTGGAATTATAATGAGGTAATAAACAGCAAAATTATCCCATTGCATATAACATCTGCTGTGTCTAAATTTATTAAAATGAAATCATGCATGGTAAAAAAAATTAATAGGCTTCCATTTTGAGCTTTCCAATGTTGAAAGAAGTCATTTGATTATTTCTGTTTTAACCTGCACATCTGGTAGTGTAATGAGGTGTCAGGACACTACAATGAGCCTTCTTACCCCCAACCCTTAGAAGAAAAATACCACACAATTCTACAAATTAGTTCCATTTTCCTGGAAACAAAAAGGAACTAAACTAGGGGTTATTTTTAGTTGGTGTTTATTGCCGACAGCACAAATTACCAACAAATGCAAAATGATGAAATATATTGCCCTCTTTTGCCTTTCCACTTCTTACTGTTAGTGGAATCTCTTGAGCAACCGCAATTGATTTGTTGGAGCAGACCAGGAGCTATGGGAACAAATAAGGTATTATTCAGAATCAACTGTATTCCAAGTACCTGCTATTTTGATGTTCATATTGTTGTCGAGAAGAAGATTTTCAGCTTTGAGGTCACGATGCACAATCTTTCGGCTATGACAATATTCCACCGCTGAAAGGATTTGCCAGAATTTGCGCCTGGCCTCAGGCTCGCTCAGACGGCCATGGTTGGCAAGGTAATCTATGAAAATAATGCATGTTTCAAGGGAAATGTGATAACCTTGTGATTAAAATAATTTATTTCAAACATTTACCACACAAAAATAAGAGGATGTTAGCAATTTCAGACATCAATAGTTATTTACCCAAGCCCCTCTGCCAAATGGCTTCAGAGTCTGAAAAAAAAAAATGTTGTGCGACATAGCTCAATAGTCCCTTTCTCCAATGTGGCGTGCTTTGGTTTGATATTCCCTTGTCAAAAAGAAGAACTATTTCCATGGAAACAGAAGGACAGCTGCAATAAATTGGCTTCCATCACTATAGTATATCAGCTTTGCTTCAAAGTTTAGCCACCTGAAGATACAGTCACCTGAAGAAGAAATTTCTAGGTATGTCTAAACTGTGCTGTAATACTACAATGTAGATCTTTCCTACGTTCCTACGTTCATGAAAGGGCTTTTTTCCAATCAATGTAATTAATCCATCTTTCCAAGAAGTAGTAGTTCGGTCAATGGAAGAAACACATACTAACTATAAACAATGATAGTACTGCTATCTCCACAGCTGCCAGAAGGGCAGAAGGAAAGAAAAACCAACACAGCATGTGCTGAAAACACTGGATATAATTGCTGCTTGCTATAATCAGTAGTCATTGGGAACTCAAAGACAACAGGGACTACTCCCCCATTTATTACCATTAGCACCCGCCACAAGTGGAGAGAGCAGAGAGCGAACCCTGCTTAACAGAGGATTGCAGAAGCATAAGGCACTGGTGCTTTGATCCAGAAAGTGGATCACCAGATGCAGCTGTATAGAGACTGCTCCACCCGAGAGCTCTCAAGATGCAAATAATTCCAAAGGGATTGGAGAAGTAGAAATATATCTCAGGGAGGTGGCCAACAACAAAGAGGAAATCATGGTGTAATATCCCAATGGCTAAATACCACAACTGGCTCCTCTTTCATTCTTCTGAACAGGATGATAAATAAGTCAAATGGATTTAGAGAAAGTTTGACTATTCTCTACTGTTTTCTGCTTGGATAAATCAAAGGAGACGATACAATCAATATAATCTCATATTTTTAAAGTAAGCGATAGTTTGGTTCCTAATATCACCATAGGCTGTGTGATAAACCTGACCCTTGTTTCCATTGCTACTCATCACAATGATAAATGATGGCTTATTAAGTTTCTATAATGAAATATAAAGTTTGCAAAGTGTGGAGGATGGTGGAGACAGTCGGTTTCCATTTGGTGGGATTCATGTGCTATGGCCGGAGAGGAAATTTAGCAGGGAAAAAAACACCACCACCACCACCACCAAAAGGCTTTTATATCCCGCAGGTTGCATAAGTCACTTAAAAGACACAGACCTCCCCCCACCATCATTGCTAAACATTTCCCTCTGGCAATATTTCAGGCATTTAGAATTTGTAAAACAAATCTAATTTACAAACCATAAATTATAGTTTAGTGGGTTATGAAGCGACATGGAATATCATGGAGTAACACAGCTGGTGAAAGACCATCACACACTTAAGACATATTCATGGCCAAATTCTGTTCTCAGTTACAAAACTTGTAAACCCACAGAAACTTCACCGATTTCAAGGGTATTTACTCTGGCCTTTCATCAGTGCCAGGGGTTTTTGATTTGGCCTTTAATGAGTACTCAACATCAAAACAAGGGAGGAAATGCAGTCTATTGATCTAGGAGAACTACGTTTGGGAAGTTATTGACGTACGGAACCACGTGGTAGCTCAGGAAATGGTCAGTTATTAGGAAGGCACTGCCAAATGGGGAGTGAACCAGCCAGTCAATATGGCAGGTAGGGAGAAATGTTCAGCATCAATGATTGTGCACTCATCAGTTCCATGGAAAGTCCATATTTTGTTCATGAAATCTGGATTACGGACCATCTGTAAAGCTTTCAGTAACAAAGTAAATGCCTTGAACATGTATAGAATCACACCCAACCATGACGCTGGGTTTCTTCAATTCACTCCTGCATCTCTAGTGGTGAAGGAGAATTCATTCATTTTAAAGCACCTATCTTTTAAAGGACCTAAATGTTATTTTACATGTTTTTAAAAACAATTACATAAACCTAGCCAGCCATAGTGGTTGACACCAAATCCCTGCCCTTTAGCTAGGAACAATAAAACCAGATAAAACTCAAAAATCAGATAGACTATATAAGAACTTCTTACAGATTGCTCTCAAGTTTATTAGACACATTCTCTGGTGTTTCCATTCGGAGGAGTCAGTGACAGAATTGGAAGTCTCTACCCAAGAAAGTCCTGCCACAGGTTGAGTGGTGTTTCAACACTAGGAACCAAAAGCCAGAGCTTCCTAGCTGATCTTAAGAGCTGCTATAGAGAATAGGATGAAAGGCTAGTTTCTCCAATTTCCGTGAATACAGTGGAGGGCATAGGCCTGGTAATATTCAGCTTCAGCATATTTTAATTGTTATACTGAGTGCCTTCATCATTTCACATTGTGTGTTTGGGGAAGCTACTGCTTGCTGAATGTTTTCAAAATGTCATTGTGCTTTCAGAAAATTCCCTGCAGTAGGGCTATTTGAATCTGTTGTATCTTGCATCAGAACTTTGAGCTGCTTTGATTTGTTTAGGAAGGGAAAAGCCTTAACTTTGCTGTTTCATACTGTGAAGAGTTTGGAAGATAAAGTGTGATTGATTAGAAGTCCTTTACAAGCTTTAAGTCTGGTGATGAAGTGTTGAGTATTGAATAATTAAGAAGATTTAATTAGAGATTCCTTGTCCTGTTCTTGTTTCACCTTGCATGATAAATGGCATATTCCTGTCCGGGCTTGAGGTTCAAAGTTCATCTTATGGTTAGGGCCCTACCAAATTTACAGTCCATTTTGATCAATTCCATGGTCATCAGATTTTAAAATAATAAATGTCATGATTTCAGCTGTTTAAAACTGAAATTTTACAATGTTCTACTTGTAAAGGTCCTGACCCAAAAAACAGTTGGGAGGAGGGGTGTCGCAAGGTTATGTGGGGAGAGGGGTTTCAGTACTGGTACCCTTCGTTCTGAGTAGTTGCTGACAGTGGCACTGCCTTCAGAGCTGGACAGCTGGAAAGTGGCAGCTTCGGGCCAGGATTCCAGCTATGATGGCAGAACTACTGAGAGCTGCAACAAAGTAGTAAGGATGGCATGATATGCTATTGCTACCCTTACCTCTGCACTGCTGCCAGCAGAACTTGGTCCTCAGTTGGTAGCCACCACGTTCCAGATGCCAAGCTGTGAAGGCAGTAGCACAGAAATAAGGGTGGCATGTTGTGGCATTGCCAACCTTGATTCTGCATGGCCGCTGCTTGGCCAACAGCTGCCACTCTTTGGCTGCCCAGTTCTGAAGGCAGTGCAGAAATAGGGGGGCAATATTGCAATCTCCTTAAAATAGCCTTGCTGACACCTCTGCAACTCCCTTTTGGGTAGGGATCCTCAATTTGAGAAGCACTGTTACTCCTGTGAAAACTATCCAGTATAGGGTAAAAAACACACAAAAGGCCATTTTCCTGCTCCGTGACATGCTTTTCATGGCTGTGAATTTGATAGGGCCCTACTTATGGCCTTTACCAGAAGCCCACTGCCATTTTCATAGGTTTCACAGGTTCAATGCCAGCTAGTCCCTCCTAGGCCAAATCAAAACAAAATTCCACAGGGCAATCAGAATCCAGCATCAACTGCCTGCAAATGCTGACTCATAGCTCAATTTGATCACATGCTTATGCCAACAAGCCAAGCATCATAACTGAAAAAGTCTGGCACCAGCAGGCTAGGAAAATGTATTTCATGGTTATCTCATCTACCATAGTACAATGAAAGCTGACACAAGCAACTCCCAAAGAACCAACAGTCTTCAGCTGAGGGTTAAGGGCAGCTTCAGTGGAAACCTCAGGAAATGGTCATTTAAAGATTGGAGTTTACATATTTAAGATGCGCCGTTAAACAGGACTAAGTATTGCTTAGGTTGCCTGGATTTTCATAGTTAAAGCAGGAATAAAAGCCCTCCCTCACACATGGGCTACGTCTGGACCCCACACCTTTTTCGAAAGAAGCTTTTTCGAAAAAGAGCGTCTAGACTACCACCAGTACTTACGAAAAGGCAAGCCACTTTTTCCAAAAGAGAGCACCCAAGCAGTCTGGATGCTCTCTTTCGAAAAAGTACAGTTTCCATTATATAGCGCCTTTTTCCGAAAGAACACTTTCGAAAAAAGGCGTTATTCCTCGTAAAACAAGGTTTTCTGCAGTCAAAAAAACTGCCACGTTCTTTTGATTTACTTTCGAAAGAACACAGCAGCCACTTTTTTCTAAAAAACCCTGTAGTCTAGACACACCCGTTGTGATGGATTGATTTCAGTCTTGAAGACTGACATGTTAAGTCTTTCAAGGCTCAAGTATTTCTTCACTGCATTGGATAGTCAAGGCACTAGCACCAAATGATTCTTCATCGGCTATTACAGTCTTCTCCCTGACCCCGCACAGCCCTATCTACTCCAGCATTTCTCAGAATGCTGCCTCAATTGGCTAATCTACCCCTCCAGCTCAGTTGACTCTCTGTGTAGAGAGAGGAGTTTGGTGGCTGTGTGGCCTAGCTTATTCTAATAAAAATGGACAAGGAGAGAAGAAGAGTCTCAAGAAAAAAACTGCTAAGTGCACATTTTAAAATTCTTCCTTTATGAAAAGAATCTTTTAGGAAGAAAAAGAAAGTTAAACTGAAATGACCAAGGAAGGGCTCGTGTTTTACTAAGGGATTTTAGTCCCTGTCTTTATTGCAATTTTAATTATGGAGCCACTTCCAATACCTTCTTATTGAAGATGGTCTTGTGGATCAGGATTAATCAGCACTACACCTGACATAACCATCTTTGTCTAAATTCAGTTAGCAGGTCAAATCTACTGCTTTAACATGCAAACAAATACGGATGATGTAATGGAGATTCTGAGCCCCGCTTCTGTGTTTGAAATAATCTGTCTGGAACATCTGATTA